CACTTGTGTCGAAAATATTAGGTTTATTCTGGGAATCCTCTTCGATTTGTAATTAACAGGATAATATAATTGCATTGCAAAAGATCGCTTCTGCGAACTCTTCCGGTATATTAGTTGCACCTTTTTTATACTACAACCGATACAACTTGTATGTACAATAATTATACCTCCTTCGACTATGGAAATATGTTCTTTGAAGAGGATAAATTCGCGCAAAATATGATAATGTCACATGCTGAAATACAACCATCGAAGCGGATCCGTATTTAGTACTTTATCGATACAAACAGCGCAAAAACATATTATTAAAATCATTAACATATTTTCACTATTAAAAAAGTATGTCTCCATTATACTACACCCTAGAATCGTTGTTGTATATACACTAAATTTATCATACTACAACAAATCGATTTAAATATTTACGTCAACACGGTTATACGAAGCAGTAAAATTTATTCTGAAATGTATCGTCGTGCATAAAAATCAGCATGTTGTGTTTACTTTATCTCGAATGATTTATACACGTGGTGGTCCCGATGAGTAAAAATGTTTCAGCAGTGATAGCAGTATGACGATATCAAACGTCCCTCTCTGCGGAATATTTATTTATCAAATACCAGAAAAAAAGTTCCAAGTACCATGTTAATCTCTCGGAAGCTCTACTGATCGTTCTAAGAAATAAAAAGTAGAGACGATTTATGTTATTAACATTGGCTTGATATCTTTCCCAAAATTTAGCTAAAACTTCGAAATTCACGAAAAGAATAATACTTTTGTTTACCTTCCGAGAAATTCATGCGATCGAACTGTCGACTTCTCATTCTCACTCTCCTACCTACCCAATCGCTATTATCTGAACTGTCAACAGTTTGCCTGACTTTCGATCGATAAATCGTGTAAAGAGCGTGAAGCTAGTTCTATAAACTTCGCAAAGGTTAACCATTTCCCGGAAAACACATCATAGGAAACTTGAACTTAGAACGTGTCTTTCTAAGTAATTGTGGAAAATGTCGAAACTTATCAGGAAAATATACATAACCTCAAAATCAAATAAGCGATGGCGATCGTAAACATTGAATTCTGTTCGAACAATAGAAGCTTCTGTTTTTACTATATCGATCGGTAAAGACCGTCTAACGACGTTGGAAAATTTCGCGGTCTCGCTTATAACGCATGCGATCTTTATTCTCGTAGCTCACGAAATCCCCATTCGGTTGTTGGTATTTCAATCGATAATTGCAAATCGATAACCGTCGCGATTGCTGCCCGTGGAAAAAGTAACTTTACAGAATATTTCGCTCACCAGATTTAAAACGTAGACCAGTTACGTAGCGATCGTTCGTTGTCACTGTTTTTGTTTTTTTTCTTTTGTCTGATCACAAGGTTGCATCAAGTAAACACACTGCGTATGTTATTTTATAATCGCGTTCCTTTCTATCGCGCGATCCATTCGGTGCCGATCATCTACCGTGTCACACTACGTAGAAGAAAGGAAAAGGATTTTGATCGTGCTGAAGCGAATTGAGATTCATAAACGAAACACCGAGTAACACGGCTCGACACGAACTGACGGACGGTTCTCCACGCACTGATGTTCGCTGCGTGTTCGGACTTGGTATGACGGAACGGAACCACGTGATCGACGCGCCGCGCCGATCCGCCAGTGAACCAGTGACGATGTGACTGGCCCAGATAAATCCATGGTGGGGGAAGACCCTTTGGAATTTCATTGAACTAACGGAATCCCGCCAGATATTTTCGTTTTATCCAGTAACTATACGATATGAGAATGTTTACTTTGGCACAACATCGTGTTCGAATATTTTAACATGTTCATCGCTATTCATATTGATATTTGTTCATCTTTAACTGATGACGTCTTGTCAATTTCACATAACGTAGAAGTAACATTGTTCTAAATTATGAACAACCACTATGTAGCACAAACTGATTTTTACAGCGTTCTTTTACCGAATTAAAGTTTCATTCCTTTCTTCTTTATTTCCATAATCATTACCATTGCTGGATATATTTGAATCGTCTTCCGAACTGAAAAGATTATAACTCTTCTTTTTATAGGTGATTAGCACATTTTTAATCAAAACATGTTATGAATGTAAGAGGAAAGTATTACAAATTTCATAAAATTCGATATTTTAGTGGGCGATAGAACTTTGTCAAGGAGAGTTAAACGATGACGTGCGTCGTGTATAAAAAATAGTCGCGTTTCTGGGTTTACCCGCGTAAATAAGCACAATAAGATAATATAATCTGTTCAAGAGTCAGAGCAGTAGCTTCTTCTTTTACAGACAACCAGAAGCCCAACTCTCTAAAGGGTTTTCAGATATTTTAGTCTACGCGTGCCCCTTCTAGTACCTTCTGTTAGATAAATATTTCCCGAAGCAAAATTGTGTCTGCTTTCTCTCGTACAAGGCCCTCGAAAGCTCAGTTTTCTCCTTTCTTTCTCAACAGAAATGAACGAAGATAAACTAAACTGATTTCGTAAACTATAAAGTGTTATAGCACTTGAACTATTAGGTTTATAACATTTGTTGGTATGCCTGACCGTTTGAAAGATATAGCTTTTACGCGCTACAGATCGAATGACAATAAAAGCACGATAGTATTCGAAGGAAGGTTTTCCTTCTTTTCTCTTCCGGTGGTGCAGCGAGCATTCTCGAGTGCCCAGATGTGACGGACCATTTTCGATCCTGAAAAGTTCTGTTCGCCACATGGCCCACAATGACATACTTCCGTGCAGTCGGTTTTTTTTCACGGCAGTTCTTTGTCGAGAAAAGTATCCCCATTTAGAATGCCGTGCCCCTTGAAAAATCTCGTAAGATGATTTCATAAGGGTAAGCAGATGCGTAGAACGGTGCTGCATTACTATTTCCGTTTCCGTTCTTTTCACCACCGTTTGCCACGTGCCCGGGCATAAGAATTCAAACGTTTTTTTTACTTCATCTACATAACAAGAAAAGTACCTTCTCATTACTATTTCCATTCGCCTTGGACAATTTGCTAAAATCAATTATTTCACAATACCTTTATCTTTCTTATTATTTACTCAGTCGATGCCCTCCACGATAGATAAAGGACGATATTGAAACTTGAACTTTGTCTCCGAGTATTCGATAAAACTAATTTTCCGTAATGAAATCTGTAAAGATAAAGTTATAATATTCTTAAGATCCAGCTTTTGACCGATTTTTAATATGATGGGATTAACGTCGCATCAACAGATAAGTTATTAGCGACGGTATCATCGAATTATATTGTTTGATCGATGAATTATTATTTGAATCTTGGCAACTTGATCTTTCCTATCTTGAGGAAATTGTATATTTTTCGAAAAAGGAATCACTAATGTTCCTGATGTATGCTGAATTCCATTGATGTATTTGGTGATCTTTTTCGTCACTGATACACTTTCTTTCCTTGAACGTTTAATAGTTAACCGAGTATCGGCGTCCCGCAGAACAGGTTTATCATTCTGGATGTTTCTTGTGGAACTTGTACTCAGGATTTCCCTTAGTTTCCGGAATTTCCAATCCGATCGGTAATATTGGGATTCGACGCTTCATCGCCTTATGGACACAAGAAAGGTCGATGGTAAAATCTGTGAATTTCCCTGTACAGGTATACGGAGTATTCCGTAACTATGTAGTTACTATACTAATGGTGTTCCTGCGAAAAATCTCAATTATCGATACATTATTTAACAATCGATGCTTCGAAAACATTACCATTTTTTTTGTTTTAATTCTCTTAAGTGAAAATGAATATGACGAGTATTCGATACTATTGAATCATGCGATATTATTTGCTATTATTTGATTGTCTGTACAGGTATACGGAGTATTCCGTAACTAGTTACTATACTAATGGTGTTCCTGCGAAAAATCTCAATTATCGATACATTATTTGACAATCGATGCTTCGAAAACATTACCATTTTTTTTATTTTATTTCCCTACATTAAGTGGAAATGAATGTGACGAGTATTCGATACTATTGAATCATGCGATATTATTTGCTATTATTTGATTGTCTGAAAGTAATTGTTAACTTCAGAAATTAAGAAATTCCTAAAAGTCCTTTAATGAAACCATTCGTATACATTTAATGCGTTTAACGTGGCTTAATTAGACTGCCATTACGTACCTTTTGCGAATGTTTTGTAACCGAAAGGTTTCGTGGGGCTTAAGAAATCTTGATAAGATAAGAGAAACTAATTAACACTGAAATTGCGCGACGTCTATGATATTTATAAGCCTATATAAATTTGGTCATCAACAGTGATTTGCGTCATCGTTGTAACGCGCAGTTTCTCTTAAATTTGATATTTATGTATTTCGTTCTTTTCAATGGAACCCGCGAAGAAATAAATAGAGTCATATGGATCAGAATGATCGATAAAGGACGCGAGCATACAATCTTTAGAAGCGAGAATCTTTTACCAACATACAGATAAAATGTATCGATTATTAAGCTATATTAACTGTTGTCTTGATACATAATTAATTATTTTTACATAGTGTCATAAGCTGACTATATACGCACAAATTTTTTCATATAAGTTATATAATGTTTAGATTGAAAATTCCAGATTTATCAGCAATACTTGTAGTAAGTCTATCGTAGTGTTTTTTATCTACAAATCTGACAGAAATGTGTTGTCCAGTCTCCGTTCAATTTCTATATCATTTCGAGTATTCCCCAAAGTATAGTTAAATTATTCGTTATTATCACGAGTAATTTAATTTATACATTTTCCAGTGTATATAACGTGTAACATAAAACTGATATTTCTTCTTCGCCTGTTTACATCATTCAACGATACATTAATACAAATTCATTTACAGTTAACTGCCAGAAATATTTAGTATTTTATAACAATGATCGATACATTTTATATCTCTGGGATTATTAATTCTTCGCGTAAACATTTTCGCGTGTTATATTACTGACCACCGACTTTTGTTTGTTAAACATAGGAGTCGCAGTGCAGCGTAGAATTCGAATGGCAAACGAATGTTACTTGCACTTGCAAATCGAGTCCTCAAGAGCCAACCGCTTCATCGGATACACATGAAAGCGTACAAGACTTTTCTCCTAGTCATAGTAAGTATTAACATGACACGAAGAACTATTTACAATTTGTGATTGATTGCAATATACATACTCAACACGAATTCACAAGAAAAATGCCTAGTCATAAGATCTTGGCGGCTGGTTGACAGTTGCATTTCTTAAAATAATTTTATCATTGAACTACGATCTTAATAAAACGATAGATTCAGTACACATGTAGCATGTGGCACATCTCGGACAAATCAATGATTCATGAAAGTTCTATGAAGAGAACTGAAAGTATTATACAGGGTGTTCGGCCACCCCCGGGAAAAATTTTATTGGAGGATTCCAGAGGCCAAAATAAGACGAAAATCGAGAATACCAATTTGTTGATGGAGGCTTTGTTAAAAAGTTATTAACGTTTAAAGTTACGCTCGTACTGAATTTTTTTCTCGAAAATGCGCAAGATATCGGGGATATGTCTATTCACCAAAAATTATTGTAATTGACCCCCCCCCCCGAAACCGAAAATAATTTTTCCAAAACAATTTGAAATTTTTTTTTTCCGTCGAAAAGTTTCACACATTCTCGAATTTTTTTCTAGAAAGTGGATAGGATTTCGAGAATATGTCTATTCATAAAAAATGATTCTAATTAACCCCCCTAACCGAAAATAATTTTTCCAGAATGATTTGAAATTTTTTTTTCGTCGAAAAATTTAGGTACCTACTATAATTAGATTTTCGGTAAGGAATTTTTTTCTCGAAAGTGCGTTGGATTTCGGGGGTACGTGTAATGACCAAAAATGATTGTGATTTACCCCCGCAACCGAAAATAATTTTTCCAAAACAATTTAAAATTTTTTTTCCCGTCTAAAAATTTCACACCTCGAATTTTTTTCTAGAAAGTGGGTAGGATTTCGGGGGTAATTGTAATGACCAAAAATGATTGTAATTGACCCCCGCAACCGAAAATAATTTTTCCAAAACAATTTGAAATTTTTGAATTTAATTGTTAATAACTTTTTAACGAAGCCTCCATCAACAAATTGGTATTCTTGATTTTCGTCTTATTTTGGCCTCTAGAATCTCCCATTAAAATTTTTCCCTGGGTTGGCCGAACACCCTGTATGTACAAACGGGTTCAAGGTATAGGATTATTATACTTTATCGTAATCACTTAATTGAGCATTCGTATAGTAAGATATTAAAGACCATAGGACGAAATTGAAGAAGTAATTAACAAATAATATCGAAGAAGATGAAAATAATTTCTCGACATTTTGTATTTTTTTAATGTTTTGCGTTGATTAATGATATTTATACGAGTCTGTTTTTCTAATGTCGTGCTCGTCTATTTCAGCTGGCACGGTCGCAGGTATCGTGCTGGCCGTTATCGCCCTGGTAGGAGTGCTACTTTATTTCCGAGATCCGGATAAGAGGGCATGCTTTCGCTCCTGCTGGAATCCATTTTCCTCGAGAAGAGGTAACGGACGCGTTCAATACTGCAGGGTGAGCTAAACAATTAATCTTTTCAATTAGTCTTCCCATTCAATTTTAAATAAGATTGAATTTCTCTGTTCGAAACTTACGGACGGAATTCCCGTTACGTTTAATGTAATTAATTCAGATTTAAGCGGTTTTTCATTGATTTTACACAAGGTCGTATAAAAAAAGCTAAAATGAATGCTCGAGAACATTCTCTCGCTGGTAAGTAGATAATATCTGCTGTACAAATAACAATTACAAAAAGAAATTAACAAACCAGGAGGTAAATTAATGGATATAGAAACAAAAGATGTTAGGAAAATAAACTCTGTGCCATAAATTTTATCCTGCACAATTTTAAGGCTGTCTTCGGTTCTTTTTGCCACCCATCTGTTAATCAGAAGCATGCAAGGTTAAACGACGGAAGAGCTGGGGCCTTACCCATTGTAAATCCATCAGCTTACTTTACCCTGCGAAGGCAGCCTACGTCTGGAAACTTTCACATTTTAAGCCTCCTTCTCTTTATGACAAATTAGTCACGAATCTACGAAGAAAGGCGAGAACGTAATCTAATTGTTGCAGCCAAAATTTCAATCGTTTTTGAATTTATACGAGTCAATGTACGATAGAGTAAACCGGAGTCGAAAGTACCAATTTTAGCCTGGAACACGATTTTGTAAAGATCATTACAGTTGTAAAAAAAAAGTCGTTTATACTCCAAATTAACCGATTTATCTTACACTATTGAAATGATAATATTTTTGATTTGTGATAAATAAAATCAATATTCTCGATAAAATATGAACACAGAGAGAAATATCAAACAGAAGCATTTCACTCTTTTCATGTTTTGCATCTTTCGAGATATAAAGGCGACCTTGAATCTTTAAAATAGTACTATCTCATAACAGATAAAAATTTGTGTTCCGTGACGTATAGTAAAGTTACCTTGACTTCATTAAATTAGAATAAACGATAAACAAGTGGAGCTAACGGTCATTGAAACGACCTTTGCGCACGAAACATGAATTATTTAATAAAACTAAAATAAAATTAAGTAATTGCTGATTCATATATTCTGTAACTTAGGTCGACACTACAGAGGAGGCATGTCTTCTGCTTGACGTTGACCCCACGCAGTGTCAAACGGACAGCGACGATGATCTACTGAACGCATAGTCGCACCCCGTTTTATCGTCTTTCTACACCTTACTTTATATAAGTCCATAAATTATATAAGAAAAATTTATTGAACGTGTAAAACATTTTCATGCGTACAGTCTGCGTTTCGTTTCCTACGATCATCATCTGGATCGATTGGCGTTAATTCCAGCTTTCTTATCGCGGTTCCGTGCCATGAAATATCATAAACGTTTATAAGTACCCTCAGAAATTACTTTAGTCAACAGTTTGCTTGATGTTTCACAAGCTGACGTTTGTACAGGAAAATCTATCGACAGATTTTATTTTACAAAGTTCCTATGCTGCACTATTCAATAATTTATGCAAAACAGTTAGAAAAATATACATTTAAGGGGCCATTCTACCTTGTAGGCATGAAAAATACGTGTTTCTTTGTGATTTTTTTTTGCGGGTTATTAAAGAGCGATTAATTCCGGATTTTGTAGATACATTTATTATATATTTAGCTATATTTACGAATTTTTGCAACGCATAATATCTATTGATTACGCTGTTTTTGTTGATCATCAAACAACAGTTTTTACGAACGGCACCCGACTGCGTGCGTGATATCTTGCGAACAAGTTATTCGAAATCCTAAAACCAACGATATTCTTAATATAGATGAGTGTGGTTATAGCATGAACTAGGATCTTTTCAAAAAAACAAAAGATGGCAAAATGGCAGCTATTTTACGAAAAAATACTGAATATTTTCATATATTTGGTTGCTTTTTTGTTAATAAAAGAAAAAGTATTGCATATATCGCAATTATCCTAGTTCATGCTATAGGGAGACCAGTTCTGAAGATACTGTATAAATTTGATGTTGATATCTTGAATAGTTTTTTAGTTATCACGCACGCAGTGCCGAAAAATGTAGTTTCGAGAAAAACAGCTTTAAAGTTTCACGTCCAGTTGTTATACCTGCGCGCGGTACATTTCAGCAGGCTATAACTTCGTTAGTTTTTCAAATTTCAATTCAATATTTGGTAGACATATTTTCGAGACTACATACTAAAGGAAAATGCAAAAAAAAAAATATCGATTTTTTTAATCCCACAAGGTAGAAAGGCCCCTTAATACGGGCTAATTAAAGCTATGAGAATGAAAGCAATCGAGTTACGTTGATGTATTAAGTCTTCCGCTAAATCAGAGCGTGCATTTAAATCTTAATTAATTTGCATTTACTGAAATTACCGGTTCGACATATTGTACATACCTTTGAAATCTTCTTCCAATGTTCTGATAAATAAATAAATTTTGTTTTTCGAGTTTCACCGTATTCGTTTGTACGGTACAGACATACACATACACACAGAGTTAATTATGGTACTTTACACAATCGTTTTGATGTCAAATTAAACGAAATTAAAATAGCAAAGAATTTCCGAGTCAATGTTTTGAAACTGAGCGTATTGTAATTTTTATAGACTTTCCATCGATTTTCCTTTTGCGATTCTCTGTAAAAATAACAAATAGATATCTATATTTTAACGTATATTAGCATTCCAATGTATTTTTGTTCTTTAGGTGAATAAATAAAAGAAAATATTGTCCAGTGTATAAAATTAAATATTTATACGGTTAATGTGGTTAATTCTGGACACGATCCACTACTTTTATATTGTCCATCTCTATTTTATTAATCCACGTAATTGCAAATAAATTTGAATCACCTAATCTTTACTATAAATAAAATTATATTCTTATTTCGTTTAAGAATTATCGTAGCAATTATGTTAATACTAATTCAATATTATAATCACCCTTTGTAAGAATACAGAAGATTTATGCTTTGTACGAAGCTTCGAGCACCACTGTATGCTTTGTGAAATAGGGCAGATATAAGATAATTTGTATGTAACTATTTAGCTTGTAAATTATTTCATGGCAGGATTTGGATGTCTTACTGTATCCTTGCAGCTATATAAATATGTAATTATAAGAAACTATTTAACAGGGATACTTAACCGGTTAACTCCCTGGTATTTAACGTGTATATGAAATAAATTAAAGTTTTTAAAAGTTGCATCTATAAATAAGGCGCTTGTTACCTGTACCTCCTTTAGTTATGAATTTTCTTTTCCCGTCTTCGAAAAGCGTATGGAATTTTTAATGTTAAATACCGCTTGATCAATGATACACATGCCATTTCGTTCAACGATCTTCTGCCATCTTTCGAGGAACTAAAAGTATAAAAGTAAATAAAAGTTTCTTTCCACGAAGTTATAATAAGGGAACAAGGGAAACGGTGAATGTAATTTTGTAATGCATAAAGTCCACAAGTAATGTGTACATTAATTTATGTAATATTTAAATCTTTCCGTAATACACGCCAAGACATGATTTAAAGGAAAACCTCATCGTTCCGCGGTACAGTAACGTGTTGCGCGTCGAAACAATGGTGGAACGAAACCGAGAATTCATAATGACAATTCATTTGTACGACGGTACTACTATATTGATATAATACAACAAATTTATTTTCACATAGTATGTTGTTATAATATGTATATAATCTGGACATTAAAATTAAGATACTCGAAGGAAAATCATTCCTAAACGTGTCACATCCGATCCCATAATTACAATGCTTTCTTTCGCTCTCGCTTTCTCTCTCTCTCTCTTTCTTTCTAATTGATAGAACGTAATACGGATCCGCGGTATCGGGAAGTCTATATCTACAAAATGCAATGCGAACGTTTAAACCCGAGGAAAAAGATGTTCGTCGAGTTCGTTGGTGAAAAATGAAAATAAAGAAAAGAAAAGAAAAAAAGATAAAATCGAACTCACGGCGAGCGTAAAAGTGTCTGCGTGTGTGTGTGTGTTTTTTTTGTGTTACAATAGTGTGTCGTCGACAGGACAGGAAACGAATTCAGTCGTAACAGCTAGCTTTTGTCTTTTTTTTTCCGTTTACAGCACATACATCCATTATACGTAAATGGTTCGTAGCTTATTATGGTTTCTCTATCTTTTTATAGCAACGCTAGAGCTTCTTCGGCCAGATTAACAAACAAACGCGCTCTCCAATCTGCCGCCGATGCGTCATCCATACTCTGATACCGGATGCCGAGGATGAACGACTGAGCCCGTGCATCATTGGCAGGTTGTGACCAATGGGGAGGCCGGATCAATCATCCGGAAATGACGGTCTCCCGTGATGAATTTTCTTTTACTAGCAAAACCGTGTTCCCCCCCGCCGATAAATTTCTCGCGGGGGAACACGCACGGTAGAGATTCACGAAGTAACTAGAGGTGCACTGGAGCGTTAAATCTACAAGCGTCTCGTAACGCAAAAACCAAAAAACCATCGCGCGCATACCTATTCCACTCCCCCCCGCCCACCATTTTGACACGTTTTCTCTTCTCTGTTCGCGCGTTAAAGGCATCCAATCCCTCCTATCGGTCGATCGAAACGCACGCGACACGTTTTCGTTTTCTAGATCGAATACCCCCTTTGGTATCCCTACGAGGACGATTGTTCAATGTCCGGCATGCAACGGTAACTCGTTCCATTATTTTTTTTTTTCTTTTTTTTTTTTTTTTTTTTTGTTGCCGCTCGAATAACGATTTTTGTTTTATCTCCTACATTTACAGTATTATGTACAACTGTTTGGCACCGAAATTGTCTCTTAATCGAATGATGCCAACGAAGGGTCCAAATATGAACACGATCCACGATGTTTCTCAGCCGTGACGATGCAGTTGCACTTGGCCGGCCCCGACAACTTCCTCGGCGCCACCTGTCGTTCGTACAAATCGCTGCTTCGCAAGGCTTCACGTCCGTTTCTCTCTCTCTGTCAGAACCAGCCCGTGTGTCGAGAGGTGTCCAAACAGCGTGAAAGTGTTAGCACGTTAGAAGTTCCTTTGGCATAGTTTAGAAATGTACATGTCCGTATGTCCTTTACCACGTTACAGCGGAATGTGTTGCCTTAGCGTATTTTAGCTCCGGGCAATGCTCCCCTTCGTACGGAAGGACGTTGCTAGAGCCGAATGGAGAAGCGGACATTGCCAAGTCGCCTCTGATTTTTACACCACGACGTTATTATTCGTATCATCGAGACGAGTTGGCAAAGCGCTTCGCCGACGAATTTAATCCTACTAAACGCGTTACATTTACTCGTTCTCGTAATAGTGTTTTCATTCTTTTAGTTTTTTTTTTTTCTCTCGTAACCTATAAAATGACTGACTGCCACTGGTATTTGTTCTTTTTTTTTTTGTTTATAAATTCCAGACTGCCCAGCAGTCAGACGCACAACAGTTATCACAACTTAAAATCGTAATACCTAATACGTTACTCTTTTGTAAATATATTAATATTTAATCATAAATATTATATATATATATATTTATTTATTTATATATATATATATTGTATTAATAACAACTGATCTTTATCGTACCACAATACTTGCTGTGGATTAGTAAAATACCATACGAAACGTCATGTACAATTACGATTCACTTCCATTTTTCATCCCGGGACCAAGTAACGGGCTATGAAACGCAAATGCGGAAGTAATGGCTGTCAAGCGAATAAACGGGAGGAGATATACGTTCAATGTTGCTCTCATTGGTAATTGTTGTTCGTGATAGTCCTATCATTCTGGTTCAGGTTTCTCTCACTTCTTTCATCATCATCTTTTTTTTTTGTTCGTTTTTACTAAAAAAATATCGATCGAAGCTACGTACAATGCTATATAATGATTATTAACATTTAAAAATGAGATCTATTTTTTCATCCTAGCAACTCGGGGGGGGAAAGGGACATTAAAGATCACTCGAGTTCATAATGAAATGTCCATAAACGAGCGTTCATCCTGCTTTGTGATTTTTAACCTTATCGTACGTATGGCGTAGTCCATTTTATCCTGGCATTTCGTGGAGGAGCTCCCTTGCGTTGTTGTCGTCGTATTGATCGGAGGTATCCGTGTGTTACTTGCGCTTAACGTTTCGAGTTCGTACGGAGCGTGACCCGGCGGTCAGACAGACGAATTTCGAGGCCGGTTTCGTTTGCTGCGTGCGACAGAGCCGTGCCATTTTCGCGCGCAAATACGTGGTACTCGTGGCGTGGCATCCTCGTTCCGCTTGCACGGGACACGTTCGGTCACTCAGAAGATTTCTGGTTCCGGTTCGTTCGAGGGCGCGGCCTGAAGGGCCAGCTGCATGCTGGACTCTGTATTACGCCGTTTCATTTTACCCTTGGTCTTCTTCAGCATCGTGGCCTAGGAAGGGACAGGGTCACAGGGGGCGCACAAAGGAGCAATTGAGAAAATGTCAATGCCAGTGGCCAAGTAAACAGCAATACCTCGACACTCGTTACACAGCCAGAACTTACGGACCAACAAGAGGATGTTCATATACGAAAAGAAGTTGAAACAAAGAGTAAATTAACACTCGAAGGACAGTCGCCGGAACGTCTAATCCAGTTTTATATAAGTTTAAGATGAATTTTTATTTATTATTTATAATCTACGGCGTTTTGTCATTAATAGAATGGACTTGGTACCAATATGTTTATTTATAAGAAATTCTGATTCGTTTAAAGGATGCAGACTATACGGAAGTATTTAAATTTGATCGTTAAGTTTGCTGAGTCCTTGAAGTGTTAATGCCTCAAGCTGTAAATACTATTCGAAAAAATATGCATAACAACTAGATCACACACAGTGTTGTGAACAAGTGCAGTAAATCCTTTCATTCTGTTACACTGTTGTAGTAACTGAGTTACCAACTGTACTATTTTCACTTTTAGCGATAAAATTTGCTACCCGCCATTTTGTTCTATCGCTGCTCGTCACGAACCAGTGAACACAAGGAAAGGATTTGCTGTATAGGTTTTGCTATGAGAAAACATTGAATTGATGGATGTTGCATTTAAAATAGGAGAAAAATATTTGTCATTTTTGAGGAAACCAAATGCTAGAAGTGCTGCATCAGAAATTAGGAAAGAAATTATTTTCCAATAAGACAATGCTTGTTTCTTGATGACTTTCAATGAAACTATGATTTAGAAGAATTCTGTCTTAATAAATCTATTTTTGTTTCTTCTTTATTTAAAGTTATATCATAGAATAGCTATTACTGTTCACCGAGTTCAGTATTTGTTAAGAATATCGATCAAACTTTGTCGAACCTACAATTTTTCACAACACTGTGTAACAACAAGCTTGAATAGCGCTGAGCATTTAGATTTTAGGGTAACTAATAAATTTCCGGACAAGCTTAAACTTTAATAGCATCAAATTATCAACTATATATCCGATGGTCGGTAAAAACATTAGCGAAGAGATTTATAAGTCATCGAAATAACCGAAATAAATTTAAAGCGAAAAACATACAAATAACAAGGAATGATCCTCGACTCGGAAATTCAACAAATTCTCAAACTTCAGTGATACGTATTGCGTATTGCCAAAGTAGCAAATTTTTTTGATTTTCCAGGTCGAATATCGTCCCTTGTAAGTTCAGCGTATCGAACTTCCGCAGATATTTGAAAACTTCTTTGAAGGTTACACGAGTTTGAAGTTGTCCAAGGATTTGTTGATCACCCTAATACATCGATAAGAGTGGCACAGAGGGCTACATGCGACGGAAACATCGAATGGATATTTACTATACAGGAAATACATGTAGTGTACATCTTTCGCATGGCGTACCCACACCGAAACTCCCCCCACCCTCCCATTGTTGCAGAATCTGCACAATCGGGGAGTCTAGGCGGAGCACTGGTCGGAAACTTGAATCATGAATTTAATCGATCGACTAGTTGCAAGCTGTGGTTAGGTTTTGTTGGTACACTCGTCCGTGCTCTTGCCCCCCTCCCCATTAGCGGGTGGAATCGACGGTTCGGTATTCCGACGCTTGATCTTATTTTTCTTCAACATGGTAGCCTGGAGTGAACAAAGGAACGAGGAGATATTAGTCAGTGTGCGATCAGGGGAGGATTGCATGCACTGCCGGACACCAGCAGTTGGATTATGCTTTTACGAAGACTTGCGCAGAGCGTCACGATAAGTAAGATTAAGCGGCTAGCATGTACAGATGCCCCTGCAGAGATTCAGCGTGCGACAACTATGTTGGCAGCCCCATCATTCTACACGAAATCGAACAGCATGAGTGAATATCCGGCAATTCTAACAATTCGAGGGTATCACGTCCCTAAACTCTATCCAACAACCGTTAACCCTACGCACTGTAACTGTGTCTTCAAAGCGTCGTTGATGTCTGGTATTCTGCGTTAAGCGTGCTTAAAATGAAAAGAACACGTCACTTCATCCAAATTATATTGAATATTAAAAGTCGTACCCTTCAACTACTCCAGAAAACTAACATTACGCCTTAGCACATTAATTTCAAAATTGGCATACTACTGCCAGTCATAAGGCTCGCGCAGGGTGTTCCACCTAATAATAATTAAATTTGCTTGGGATCATCGCGGTAAATGTGCCTAGAAAATATGTACAATAATTTTCAGCATACTCTTCGTGCCCCGTTTTAATCTTCTTCAAAAAAATAACATGCCAAGATTAATTTGCCAGTCAACGTATTAAAACATGTACGAATTGATGCGCTCAAAACACTGGATTAAAAAAAAAAAAACATATAACATCGATATAAATGAAATTGACAACTAATTACTGCACAAAAAATTGTAATGCAAAAGGTTAAACGGGGAGTACAAATTAGGTGCAAACAGCGAGGACACAGTTTCAATGCCAAATACTTAGAGGGATTTAGAGTTTACTCTTACGGTGCGTTACACCCATTCTGTTCTATATTTCAACGGAATTATGGGGGTTGTTATGAGTGTTTGTACTAAGATTACCTTCAGTGCTGACTTTAATACTACGATATCCCCTGGACTCTGGACCCACGGCTCCCCATCCACTTGTACCGGTGTATCAGAGTGCAAGTGAATCTTTATGTGTCCTCCCTGTGAGAGTTATGGGGATAAATAAGAAGAAATCGTTCGCTGACCGAGTCCTATCACGACTACCAATAGTCAGCGATTGAAAAATTTCTGGTTTCCACGATTCCAACCATTCCAACCCCAATTTCCACGTCGTATTTTCCGATCGAGTAATCATTGAATAAGACCTTACCTGAGCTATCCTCAACCCTGCACGAAGACTAGATTGAATTTGCGCAAGATGCAGCACGCCCGTAACACCGACTACTTCCAACAACCCGTCCCAATGATTTGGCGGACAAAATTGATCTTCCTTGGCGTCTGATCCCCAGGGACTCGCTCCGGAACCCCAACTACATCGTCCAGGAGAAACTCATTGAAGGAACGTCGAACAAACGCGGGTAGAAGATTCACAAACTGAACAATACCTTAAAATATTAAGGATAATTATTCCTTCGACTTCAGGTAATTCGACAAGCTTTCCGTCCACTTCTAATCGAATTTCTTTGTGAAAGTCTTTCAAAGGTTTCCGTTTCATCAACTTCTGTAAACCCAGCGTCATGTACATCCTTTTGTTATGCAGTCTGCTCTTGAACTTGTCCGGATTTTCTTCTCTGGCGTTATGGAAGCCCAAACACAAATCGGCGTCGATACCAATTCCGAAGTAGTTGTTCATTACGAATATCTGCGTATTGTCCTCGCTCGTTGCACCGGCTCCTGTAATATTTAGACGCGAAATTACGTTTATTGCTACCCACTTGAGATGATTGTAATTTCTGAACGTTGCTAGGTTGAAAGATGCGTTTAATTTTATTAACCTCCTATATTGAGGACTAACTGCTTGTCTTCCTTCTCTTCTGGATGAAACACTACGGTCCATCGATCCAACAGAGATTCCTCCGCATCGATCACGTCGCGGAGCAAAGTCAAAGGATCCTCGGCACCAGTGTAACCGGAACCCCAACACAGAACACGCGCAAGGTCGTTTCCTGTTCCCAGAGGAACGATGGCACACGCAGGTGAGGAGCACTCGCTGTCCTGACCTACGTTGTCCAAACACTGCAGTACCCATCCTATTGTTCCATCCCCACCGCAAACTAAGATTTTGTAATCCTTTATATGACGGAAAACGTAAAGTCTGCAATGCAATGGAAATTATTAAATTAATATTATACAAATCCTACACACCATAATACCAATGCATTTAAACATCGGCTTCATTTATTGTTGTATAATAAATTTTTCAAAACAAAACTACACTTTCAGGGCTACGTGTAACGGCGGAATGAATTGTTAACAATACTAAATCAGCGAATACCTTTGATCGCGAACAGAATACAAACGAGTGTAGTACTCGTCGTTTGAATACTTCTTGAGATACATTTTGCCCATCCCTGTGCCTCACCCTGTATAATACATTAGACTAATAGTTTACAGTGAAGCTATGGCTCATCGCGTCGAGTATAATTAAGCAATTACGAATCTTTTTGTTAACGAAGCAGGCTGCTTAATGAGACATAATTTTGTCGCATTTTGTACGCGATAATGCACGTAATGGAAACCATTTCTATGATTGTGTAAATTCTGATTTTAACGACAATTGGTACCAATAAACATTGCATACTTCAAATTTCTTTTATGGCTCGAATATCGTGTCTAGCTAGGAAATATTGATAGCGTCTAAATAACGATGTTTATTAAAGAAATCGAAAATGATTTTTAAATCTTGGCAATTATAAGTGATACAGAAAATGTATTATTTCAAGCTTCCTTCGACCTACGCAATCTTCATTTGAAACAGTTTTCGGTAAAATCAATACTTGCAAAGATATCGAAGTGATTCTACGTGCCACACCCTATACACGATAGTCGATTAATCAAATAGTAAATAACTTGCATAATAATTTGAATATAATTTTATCTGTATTCCAATTCTTTATTTACTTAAATGTATAATACTTACAAAACTTTGTAAAGTAATAATAGGACTTCAAATAAATAGTATAGATTATGCCGGATAATTGGACTATATCTACATATGAAGTGATAAAAACGAGGAATATAATCACAGATGAGGTGTACGAACAGACCTTACATCGAATGTATTTTTTTTTTGTCCATTTTTCTGGGGTTCTAGAGCCCCATTACCATTTTCGTAACATCGACAAAAGGTTACAGAATTGAACAGAAGTGGAAGTGAGGGGAACCATTTCAGACCACACATTATATTTTCGGAGAAAAAAATTTTTTCTCGGCAGTGCATAGGATTCCGGTGACATGTTTATTGACCAAAAATGATTGTAATTGACCCCCGTAACCGAAAATAATTTTTCCAGAACGATTTGACATTTTTGAATTTTGTCGAAAAATTTCACACCTTCTCGAATTTTTTTCCCCAAAGTACGTAGAATTTCGGGGATATCTCTATTGAACAAAAATGATTGTAATTGACCCCCGTAACCGAAAATAATTTTTCCAGAACGATTTGACATTTTTGAATTTTGTCGAAAAATTTCACACCTTCTCGAATTTTTTTCCCCAAAGTACGTAGAATTTCGGGGATATCTCTATTGAACAAAAATGATTGTAATTGACCCCCGTAACCGAAAATAATTTTTCCAGAACGATTTGAAATTTTTGAATTTTGTCGAAAAATTTCAGACCTTCTCGAATTTTTTTCTCGAAAGTACGTAGAATTTCGGGGATATCTCTATTGACCAAAAATGATTGTAATTGACCCCTGCAACCGAAAATAATTTTTCCAGAACGATTTGAAATTTTTTAATTTTGTCGAAAAATCTCACACCTTCTTGAATTCTTTTCTAGAAAGTGGGTAGGATTTCGGGGGTATGTCTATTCACCAAAAATGATTGTAATTGATCCTCGCAACCAAAAATAATTTTTTCAGAACGATTTCAAATTTTTTATTTTCGTCGAAAAATTTCTGCACCTACAAAATTTTTTTCTCGAAAGTATGTAGAATTTTGGGGGTATGTATATTGACCAAAAATGATTGTAATTGACCCCCGCAACCGAAAATAATTTTTTAGAACTGAAAATTTCTGTATCTACTGTAGAAAAAATTTGTAAAAATTTGTTTTTGATTTTGAATAAGCACAACCATGAGTAATATACTAATACAATTTATTAGTAAAAAATAAAATATATAAAATTCCTACACTTTATTTGTCAACTATTGAGTATCGACATCACTAATTCGTAACATTTACCGAAAAATATTTGGGTTCTGGATAAATATGCCTGTTATTCGGATATTCCGGATAATCGAAACTCTACTGTATTTGTAGAAAATTATATGGTAATAATTGATCAAACTCCGCTAAATAATTCATGTACATTAAAAGTGAAATAATCATAATAAAACGTAACATGTTAGTTTTTCAAATGGCAATATTTTGAAGACGATCAGATTTGGTTAAAAGTATATGTTTTAAATAAAAGTTGCAAATAAAATCATAATGTAAGTTAAATATTAAACAAACATTCATTACGGATTAAATGTATTTCCTCTGTTACGTACCCAGGAAGTGGTCCTCCATTGTCCAGGTCGAACACCTGATACGGATTCAAAAGTTTACGAAAGCTGGAGATCAATTGAAGTCCTTGACAACCGCCGGACTTTACATTCACGAAGACGAGCAAAGGTTGTACACCCGGCGGAACCATGCTTGGCTCGATACTCGGTAACAGCATAACTATAATCACGAAAATATCGACGTAATTAATGCACATTGTAATACAGCTCTAACGTTGACCGATGAATGGCGTGAAAAGGTACCTAATAGATGTTTGTCCTCGTATTTCGATTCCCGCAATGTATACAACGCTCTGACTGCCTTATTCGCATCCTCGTAAATGATTACCATCGAGCCGTACTCGTAATATATGGGACCAATCGAGGAGAATTTATTTTCTAGGAAAACGACACACGTATGTTTATTACGAGTATTAATCGAGCCCCTTGGTTGACAAAACGGAGTGAACACGTTTTCTTAGTTTTCCTTTTAAAATCCTTATATTAAAAGTAATAGTAATTTTGGACTTGTGTTGGTTGTCAATCGAAGGGCTCAATTGCAATTAATTGTTTTTCGAAGTTTCTATTGCTCCATCGTTCGATCACAGCTGGATTACCTTTGCCTAAGAATTCGGTCAACATGTTCTCGTAACTTCTTTCCGAGAGATTCGGTGGCAGGTTACCCACGAATAAAGCTAAATTAGGTCCGTGAGGATCTTGCTTCAACTGCAGATAGAATCGCATCAGCTCCATTTGCCTGATCGAATCTTTCCCTAGCTGCTTGACAATCTCCCATGGCTTTTCGTCACGAGTTAAAACTCTTTCGGTGACTGGACAAATACAAGTAATTAGATGTAGCTACACAATGCTGTGATTAAAGAGTGACGTGAAATAACAGTGGGAACAGTATACTGGGGCAAAAGAATGCAATCGAGTGCAATCGAAGTAGTTTAACTGTTAATAGACGTTAAATTTACCACCGCGGTCCAGAAGAATCTCGCTACATCTATAATCTTCCGACTTGAAATTTTCCAGACCAAATTTCTGGAGTGCCTCCTCGATTAAGTCGGCGATCGTTGTTGTTTCCGTGACAGGTACTATGCAGAATGACTCTGACACCTGTAGCTTGCCTGGATAGACGCGCACTTCTCCAGCTTCGCTATCCCTGTAATCATAAGATCGAGTCCAATTACGTGCAGTGCAATTCAACACTGTGAACAGCACATTAAATCTGTAATAGAAAATATGCAAATAAAAAGGAGACAGGTGTGCAACTTACTTGAATCGTAAGAAGACAGCCGGACGTTTCCCCTCTTTGCGATTCAAGTTTAGAACCGGCGTTGGATCGCATAATTCGGTCTCCTCCGTAGCATACAGGTCGGTGAGGTAAAAGTTGCCTGGATTGAACAAAAAAAAAGAAACAATCATTGATCCCTTTCTAAATAAATTCCAGTGTAAAATGCAACTGCGTTTACGCACGTGAGAGGAACGTTTCCCCTGATACGAAACTATTCTGTTTGTAGTTATCAGTTCGATCGCCACGTGGGTGTGCAATATAACGGTTAACTGCAGCCGTAGGCGTGCATACACGTCTGACAGATTGAGTTCATATAAATGTTATTGATACCTACGTACGCGTACAAATTTGATCTGATACCAGAAACATAAATTTTCCAACGCGAGCGGTTCTTAAGTGTACTATTCCTGTACAAACCACACACTTCGAAACAATATTTGCTCATACGTTTTCCTTTATATTAATTTTAAAAAATACACGTTCTTTATAAAAGTTCTTACAAGTCTTTTTTTTCTGAAAAGATTTATTAAAATCTGTTAAAAAGGAAATTCGTGTACACGCATGACACGGTGAACTTCAAATGTCCTTGGGTTAGAAAATGTGACATTTAATCGAAAAAGCGAAAGCGTAGGAAACTACAACTAACGAATTATGAGCCATATTACCAAAGGTCAGCTAAAGGTCATGGTTTCATGTACGCTTTTTTCGTCGGCCCAAGAACACGGTAGTAAAAAAATAAGGTTTATTTTAGTATCGATTTGTGAGAAAGCTTCGTTTCACATTCTTCGTCCCAAATTCTTGTTTCCTTGCTTGGCTCTTTTGGAACACCAGACGCCATTGTCGCTTGGTTCTTTCTTGATCGGATGTTACGCGATTTACAATTACAAACTCGACAGTTTATTAATGGTCTGACGGATGGATCGTTAGCGGTACAAGTACAATGGACATTTCGAACGATGATTTTGTTCTACGTACTGGGATCTTTCGTAATGTGAAATGCACGAAGCGCCGACGTCAGGACCTGTTCCGTGGTTGCTTGCCGTGGAACAGAGATCACGCGAAATATCCGTCGTCTGAGGGAATTATTGCCGTCGTACACCTTGACCATTTCTATAAGAATACGGAAGATCGGTAAAAAGATGGACCACGTACCAACCGCCTGGGGACTTATCGAAATACCTTCGTCGCTTCTATCTTTATCTTCTTTCTCCTTCGGCGAACGTGGATCGCGACTGTGCGTACCACCTGGTGCTGGTTCGCCATTGTCACGATACCTTGCGTCCGCGCTGCTGAACTCTTCCGATATGCTTCTCGCTGAAAAATGAAATCGATCGTCGATTTTGTAACACGTTAAACTCCAGATCGTTCCGTTCGCGTTCGGTTTTGTACAGCACACCGTCGAAAGTCGGGTGTAAAAATGCATCGTCTCGTTTCTTCAACTACCGTTAAAAAAAATGCAAGTATATTAATACGCTTGGCAGTCATTACTCAGATAACATTAATGGTGTATGGTAAGAGAAGCATCTATAGTAGCTAAGACACTTTCCCGGTGAGTTATTACGGGATCGTTGGACACGGATATGTTGCGGACCAAGTGTAATCCGATTGGACCTTCAACCGGTGGTACTATGATACAGCTATTATCAAAGCGCTAATATATCGAACTGAAGAAATTGATCGTCGGTGGTCTGGATACGGATTCAATGAAACTTACATGTGAGACGTTCGGAAATTTTAGTGCATAATTTTATCGAGATATCGTATTTCGTGGCTCTGTTTCCTCCTAGAATCTGGGAGTATCTGTTCAAAGAACAATCGTAGGTAATTGCAATTTCGAATTTGGAAACGAGAAACGAGCAAGATCCACGTTGGATCGTCGAAGTTCCAATCAAAGTACAGTACTACCTCGCTTCTTGCAATCGAATCTGATACATCTGTTAACAACGTTCTGGCATATTTTTTTCTTTTTATTTCTGTTTTCAGTTACTCGAGCGAAAGAAACACGAAGTATCCCCAGCGCAGATCGGCGCAAGAAGAGGCAGTGCTGTGCTTAAAAATAAACTTCGAGCGTATCGATCAAATTTCTCAAATCCTTGCCTATGTTCTTTCTCGACTGCAAAATGTTATTGCAAACGAGGCATCGCGCCAGCCTCGTTCCGTACCCCGACATTATGCACTAAACGTTTCGGACATTCTACGAGGTGCAAAATTTGTGCGTTAACGGTCTATAGCAATTGCAACGTATGAGATGTTAGTGAGAAGAAGAGGGATAGGGAACACACGCGTTTACATATACTGGCGCTACAACGCAATCCTTTTTTTTTTTTTTTTTTTTTCAAACTTCCAAGAATAAGTGATACCTCTTACCATCGGGCACGATGGGTTTGCAGAACACACATGATAGGAAGGAGATTTATTCAGTAGCATTCTTGCGCTTCGTTTGCACTGCATAGTGGCGTGATAAGCGTCACGGAAATCCAGCGGGCTGAGTGTGACAGTACATGCACCGAAGCAACACATACACACATGCTAGAACGTAAATGTTAACAAAGTAACAAACATTCATAGAGACGGTCAACAACGTGACGCGAGGTGCGGTTTTATTTTCGTGATCGTTCGATTTATCCTACGCTCGCTGAAATGTAAATTGATCGTTATTACGTTGCATTAGAAATTTCAGTGTGTTTTCGTAATACATGAGTCTGTTGGTCAACGAAATGGCCGGTTCGTAATAGTCGACCCTTTGGAGACAGGCATTAAAATTATAGAAAAGACGCGAAAGTTTGGTCGCTTATTTCTGTGAAACATTATAAACTAAAACTAAATAAATTGAAACGATCGTTGACAAGTATTATGGAAACGCTATAACATAGTAAAAAGGCAGATGTAAACAGTGCATGGTATTTTTTTAAGAATACAATTAAGGTAGGAAGAAGGGAATCTGGTTATTAGGTATATAAATGGCTCCTTCCAAAATGGCGTGCATCATGAAGTTACTAAATCATCCTGTATATATTTATGACAAAATTCTTTAAAGTGAAAATTTAAATGTTGCCTGTGCCCAAAGGATTCATTTAAATTATAGTAATTAACGTAACATTTTTTTTATAGGAGAAAGTGCTTTATCATCTGTGGGAGTATGGTTTAGTATTTAGTAGTAAATGCAAGGTTTCTCCGACGATTCAGTTCCACGTGAATAGTACGCATATAAACTTTTTATAAAATTATGTATCCAACGAAGAATCGTGCTAAAATATGAAAATACTCAAAAATGTGATCATTACGCAGCCAGTACAATTTGTAGTATAACAGTTTCACGGTACTGGCTGTGAATAACACATATTTATAAAAAATTAATTTACTGGTGAGATAATCTGTCTCTTATATGTATACGGCAGAGATGAGATTTGTTTAAACCTACAAGTCAGAATATTTAATATATTTCTTTAAACGTACATTAATTAATCAGACAAAATAATTTTAGTCAAGGGAATCACTGAAGTGTTTATAATTCCGAATGAAAACATTTTATTTTCGTCTATTTTATTCTATTAATCTTATCGAAATGTCGATTTGTCTAAGATAGATGTTAAGTACTGAGCAAAATGATACCCATCTCTGACGTTGTACGAACTTCGAACAACTGCGGAAAATATGAGCCTTGTACTTAAAATATGGTGCAATATTGATTTAGAACGTATAAAAGAACAATGTCATTACACAGTGACGTAATATTTCGTTCTAAATCGATTAAAATTTGTGTATTAATTCTCAACTAACAGAATTCATCACTTTAGTAATATATTCTGAAACAAGAAACAATGTATATCTACATGGCACGTAAATATACAAAATATACGTCACTTTAAAGTTAAATTGGCTCATATAATTAAAGCAAGCGCATTAATTGCAGCACTTCGTCAAATAAGACTAAATTAGTAGTTAAAAAAGCAGCACTCTTAAATATATGCTCCTTCGACAAAATAGAACCAAATTATGAACCCTTCCGGTATGGTCAATGAGTATTATCTTTCAAAATCGTTTCGATAAGAAATCGTAATTAAATTCTTCCGCGGCTCTATCGTGGAATAAATTTTTAATTTCCATTTCTTCTATCTTCTATAAAAATATGCTTTCACATGACAAACAAATTGCAAATCGTGTAAAAAGAAAGGTTCAAACATATATTTTTACATATTTCGCCCCCTCTAAGGAAGGTTTTTGGATCTGCCCTGAATTCTCATATCAAAACCGTCCTGGCTCCAGGGATTCTAATCCTAACCCAAGCCTGATTCGGTTTTCAGTTTCGTAGAGTGCTCTACGTAATGTACAATACTTTTTAGCCACAATAACAATTGTGACAACATCTTCAATTTTGTCGAGTGCACAAAGCTCTTCATATTACATTTGATACTATTTTTTTTGATAATCTTCTCTGTACGACTCGAGAGCAGTTCTCTGGTGGGTAACTGTGGGTTGCCATAATCCACCTTTGGCTAACCAGGTTACGGTTAGGGTTAGGAAGCGGTTAGAATCCCTGGCTGACCCACATGTGGCTCAGCGGACAGTGAACGCGTTAATGTTGATAAATGATCGATCCTCGGGTCGTTCATACCGAAAGAGTTTAAAAGACGTATCGTCCTGTAATACATCTTGATACCTTCGGTTGGTGTGGAAAGATCGGAAATAAGTAAATAGCGTGGCAAAGTGATAAAGTGATAAAGTCAAATAAGCGAGATAGATAGATAGATAGAAGCGTAATGTACAAAGAACAATAATCACTACGGCAATGTTCCGTTCTGTACCGTTCGGTTCGCGCTAACATCTCAACATCGATTATGCTCACACAAGACGAATGTCAGATGATGGTAATATTCTAGATACCTCGAACATAAGGAGGGGAAGCATGACAATTTCCATGGCAGCTACGTGGCAAAACTAGTGAAAGGCGCCTCAAAGCTTCGGATAGGCGGCCTGCAGCCCCATTTTGTTCACTCTCAGCGAAATCGAATTGCTCTCCGATGTTATCTTCAAATAGAAGCAAATGGTAGACCGAGCTTTTTATACGGTTACCATTACAAAGTCTGATCTCTACACAATTTTTTCCCTTCCGTTTTTAGTTAATACACGCACACAACGCATGTGTCCGCGATTTAATCGTAGACACGCGAATTCCGCGCATCTCGTCGCAGGCGATCACGGCGCGTTTCTTTTCACTTAACCCTCTATAACCCAAAATTGTGTCTGACTTCTGAAAAGAAATTGTGCAATGAAACATTGTTAAACATCGGCACGGTACAACGACAGAATTTTACTAAGTTTGATTATTTTTTATATCATATATTTAAGTCGTATGATTAATAAAGAAAAATTACATAAATCCTTACTGATTGTACGTAGGGTATGTTAGTATTGGTAACCCCTTGGAGTTACGTTCCATCCTGGTATGACAAATTGTAAATATTATTAGTAACGATAAATACTATTGTGTTGATAAGACCACGACACACATCGATGACAAAATGAAATCGGTCTTTGAAAATGTACACGAAACGTGTGATCTCAGAGTTAAACGGGAGTTATAGAGGGTTAAACCTGTATTTCTGTTTTCCATTAGTTTCTTCTTTCTTGCGGCGTATACCTATTTTTTTATTGTTACTTGTTAATCGGTTTAGGGCAGAACGCCCAGCACGTGACATGCTCGATAAACAAAATTCTATTGGCCATTTATACTGAGTTTCTAGCATAGGAAACAAATTATAATAATTTTCTCGAAAATTTAGTCATAATCAAATAAACTAAACATCAGAATATGCATCAGCCTCTATTGGAACACGTTATAATAATCTGATAATCGTAAACTGAAAACTTTCTCTCGAAAAATGGCGGCTGAAAAGTACTCGAGAGTTACAATATTCAAACTGTTCAACTTTTAATCAAGCGAATGTAACTATTTAAATTACAAAGTTATACGGTAGCCAGACACTTACAATGATGATACGTGTAAACTGCATGTACGTTAAAATAGAAAATCGCTATGAAAACGTGAACCTGTATTGTATCATCGACAAACGTGTAATTGGCGTGCTACACTTAAATCGCAAACACTCAGTGTGGTGCAGCGACACACGACACCAATTTTTATTTCAATCGTCATTCACTATTTTCTAGACACAGTAAACGTAAAAAAAAGAAGAAGTATTTTCGTCTATCTATAAAAACAAAATCAAATAAAAATAAAAAAATATAAAAGCTTGGAACTCCGTGCTTGTTTCATCTTCAGCGAATGCTCAACCAATACCGTTTATTACTATATCTATTACCATGACAATTTAATTAAATCCATTGTTCCATTTTTTCATTCTCAGATAGTAGCGTTTATCCACGGTTGCAAAGTACATTAATTTTCCCGAATGTTCACCAAGAACCCCGTGTAATAGTAATCGTCAAGCAACATGAATTTACGTAGTAATCGTAAATGTAATTACGCCTATTAAATGCACATCGATGATAGCGATTAATAACAGCAACAGCCACAGAAGCTATAATGTTCACAAATATACGCAAACTAGATACTCTGATCGCAAACTTATCTTCGAGAAATTTAAAGGTATACTGCAGTAAAAGATACGTTTACCAGCGATTCTGATGAAAACTTAAGCACGTCATTCAAAGTGTTGAGTAAATACTATGTATTGTTCGTTTAACGTAAAGATTACGCGCGAATGAACAAAACCACGTAACCGCTACAGCGCCATATTGGTACCAGACGATTCTCCGAATAGATTCGGATAGAACAGAGTTTAGAAAAAATTTCATTACCTTCCAAAGATGGTTTTGCAATCATATTTACAAAATTTTATCGCTTTATCTTTACGTTGAACGGCCAATAAAGTTTAAAAATTTATCTCCGTACTCGTGGGACTAATTTTTAGTCTCCGTATACGAATCTAAATTTCGTAACATTTCTTATTGCTGACTTACTTTTCCCTTCTTATAATGTTATGTATCTTACGTTTTATTTTGATAAATTAATTTCTAAAAGCGGAACTACTTTCTTGTTCTTTAATTTTGCCCGTAAATATTGTGAATTTTCCAAAGAGTCGAAATTAGACGATCGAAACTCGTGCGTTTTTCGATGATAACCATGCTAGAATTAACTTTGATCGACGAGTGGTAATATTATCTCGCTGAAATGCTAAATTAAATCGCATTTTATCTCGAGTATACGATAAGAAGTGGTGCTCTGTACTCTCCATATGCAATATTATTTATAAAAGCAGCAATTTGCAATAGTGGTCACCTTTTTATCGAAAAATTGATTTACCTCAACGTGTTTTACGGTTACAATTTTTTACTACGAATGCGAAAGTTTGTAATCGTTTCTAAAAAATAAGTAGAGCGCTTATGACCGTAGTCCATTCCTTTAATACCTCATTATGTCAAATTCATCTCGCAAGGGACGTTACCCAAGTGTCCGGAATCGATTTTGTTCTCCTTGAAATATATCTTACGGCACGAAAATTTAAAAGACACGTAAGTACTTTTGCTCGATCTCGCATTTGAGGGTTCAAGTAGCCCCTTGATAATACAAAATTATCATTTTGCAAACGACGAGTTTCTTCTTGATCATTTTCTGTATTTTAGAAGAAATACAGATTACAAAGCAGTCCAATTAATATTAATTTATACAATTGATGGCATCAGCTAAGAAAGTCGATAGCAACAGAAGGGGCGGAAGCGGCCATTTCGCTAAACCAGGACCACCCGTTAAGGGAATATTCTACCACAAAACGCACATTTTTAGGTTCCTTTTGATAATTATTTGCCACAGAACTATACAAATATCTCTAATTGATAATAATTTTCTTTTTAAAATATACTTTATCTATGAAATATTTTCCGAACGATTATTTCCAATTTCTATCGATGATCTTCCAGAGGCTGTTCCGTTCCTTTAAATTTCACATTGAGCGTAAATAAAAAGATACGCATCTCTTCGATTTTCGTGCCGGACGACATATTTTCGAATCGGAGTCAGGTGTTTGACGAAACGTCGGGCAATCGTCGAGTTTCCGTTTTCACGAACCTTTATCCACGTCGTGTGAAAAGCTGAGAGTGCGATAAACTGCAATACGGCTGTATAGTAATCGCTAGAGAAAAGTATCTGCAGGAAATTAGAGAGACCTCGACAGAAGACTCGAGCGACGCAGGGAACAGAAACTAGACTCGTGACAGAAACAAGTTCGATAGTTAAAAAAACCACGAACGGGGAGGTTCATATTTTATTCAACAGATTGAATTGTGGCATGCTCAGAAGAAGGAAACACGTATAAATTATAAAATCGAGTAGTGTTCTTACACGCGTACCAATGAGCGAATGCTGAACATCATGCAAAAGATTTATGTCTAAAAAGAAAAATCGATAATATTTATACTGTTATTTTTCTTCACGTCGTCGGTGCAGATAATGAAGATTATCTTATACGTTACGTTCTCCCGTTATCTCGCGATACAAGATAACGATCACTATCGTGCACGGACTAATTTTTTTCCTAGCGACTCTCAGTATTCATTTTGTCCAAATGCACGTACACGTTTACGTAGGAATGATTCGATCAGAAGAAAAGAAGAGAAAACAGTGAATATTGCGTGAAATTAGGGGGGAAAAAACTTCTATTTGCGTATGAGAAACATATAAAACGTGATTGTTCTATCTAAGTCTAAAATATCTTGCTATGATATATATCACTGCTATGAGCATAGGCGTTTATGCGTCGAGTACAATGTGATATTTCGTATGACAGTGTTCTTTTCTTTTTACAATGATCCATCGAATATTAACAACGTGACGTTCGTTTGAAGAACCCGGAGAAGGTATATTTTAGAATCGAGAAGCTCGATCGCCTATGAAAGTCGAAACACTCGAATGGAGCCATTATTTGTTATCTGAGTTTAATATACTTAATATCATCGATATTTTAAGATTAGATTTTAAATATTTGCACGATCGAAAGAGTTCCTTCGAGTTTAACATTTCGTGGGAATGTCAACCCCTTGTTCAAATAGGTATGCAGCGACAGAATAAAAAAAATAGAAAATAATAAATCATTTTCAGTCAAATAACACTGTTGTACGGTTTCGTTGAAAAATTTCGAAATAAAACGTGTTTAAAACCGTCATTGCTCAGAAATGCGTTTGTTAGTTAAGGAATTACTTAACATCATTTATTAGAAATAAAAATATTTGTAAAAGCAAAAAGTACGTTGATTCTTATGCGTTTCGTAAACGAAACAAAACCGTACGTGTCTGTTTAATTTATTTTCTAAAAATATGATTCATAATTCTGCTCGTATGCGTGAAATAATTAAACCACATGGGATCTTCGCCGTCATGGGGCATGAAACCACAGAATAGGATTAAAAAGGTTAAAAGACAGGATTACCTAAAATGGCAGGAATTAATTCAATTAAGTGAACGAGTTATTTACAAAATAATGAGGCTCAGATCCCTGGTGGAACCCGCGTGAGCGTCTAAGGATTAACTCTTCTATCTGAATGCTATTTTCATTACAGTACAAAGGGAACGGCCATGGTGCGGCGCGGAAGAATAAGGCTAGCCTTACAGCGTATCTTTATTTTTGTAAAATGAAAAAGAGATATTAAAAAATACTAATTCTATTGCAAGTCGTTTATCTTTGTCTCTATCTTTTCACCGCGATATTAAACACGTTTCATTTTCAAATTTTTCTATGGAACGTTCGAATTCGTTTCATAAAAAAATATACCTATAGATTTTTAATAAAATGAACTACCAACTGAGAGAAAAACGATCGTTGTCGCGATAATTCTCAGAATCAAACGTTTCCTTTTTTCGAACTTTTTTCGTAACGCCGAGAAAAACGGGGAGATATCTGCGATTCCGGTCTCAGGTGACTCACCCTGTATATATACAGAATATGTACATGTATGTGAACGTAACTTCATTCCACTACTTGGTATGCACGGTCACGTGTTACGCATTCCCTAATCGATAGTTTTGATGTTTATTTGCACAATAGACACTTACGGCAGGAATACTCACGCGTCAGGACTTCTTTTCGACGTACTTGTACTCCGATGATCGCCTCCATGGGAACCTCCGTACGTGGAATACTGACTGCATGCGGTGGTAAGTAGATTGGTTCCAAGTTCCCAAAGGTGCATTCTTGCGGGATATTTTTATAACAGTATGAGTGCAACTGCAATCAGACAATTGCAACGTAAACCGTTAGCAACGCGAAAGGAAATTACGGTTATCGTAGCACTCATTGGAAATGCATAAGACCGTGGTTTCCCAAACTTTTCATCCTGAAAGTTACCAGCCATTTTGAAAGAATAAAACTCCATCGAAGTAACAATTGAAACTCCTATTTTTACAAACATTTATTTACCTCTTATTCTTATCTGGATGCGATCAAAAGACTATAATAATTATTTTTTAAATAACCGAGGAAGCCACTAGGAATACTCTAGTTAAGTTACAGTGTTTAAAAACAATACGTATCCTTTATCTTTGGCTATTTCATCCTGAAAGTTACCGGCCATTTTGAAAGAGTAAAACTCCATCGAAGTAACAATTGAAACTTCTATTTTTACAAACGTTTATTTATCTCTTATTCTTATCTGGATGCGATCAAAAGACTATAATAATTATTTTTTAAATAACCGAGGAAGCCACTAGGAATACTCTAGTTAAGTTACAGTGTTTAAAAACAATACGTATCCTTTATCTTTGGCTATATCATCCTGAAAGTTTCCGGCCATTTTGAAAGAATAAAACTCCATCAAAGTGACAATTGAAACTTCTATTTTTACAAACGTTTATTTATCTCTTATTCTTATCTGGATGCGATCAAAAGACTATAATAATTATTTTTTAAATAACTGAGGAAGCCACTAGGAATACTCTAGTTAAGTTACAGTGTTTAAAAACAATACGTATCCTTTATCTTTGGCTATTTCATCCTGAAAGTTACCGGCCATTTTGAAAGAGTAAAACTCCATCGAAGTAACAATTGAAACTCCTATTTTTACAAACATTTATTTATCTCTTATTCTTATCTGGATGCGATCAAAAGACTATAATAATTATTTCTTAAATAACCGAGGAAGCCACTAGGAATACTCTAGTTAAGTTACAGTGTTTAAAAACAATACGTATCCTTTATCTTTGGCTATTTCATCCTGAAAGTTACCGGCCATTTTGAAAGAATAAAACTCCATCGAAGTAACAATTGAAACTCCTATTTTTACAAACATTTATTTACCTCTTATTCTTATCTGGATGCGATCAAAAGACTATAATAATTATTTCTTAAATAACTGAGGAAGCCACTAGGAATACTCTAGTTAAGTTACAGTGTTTAAAAACAATACGTATCCTTTATCTTTGGCTATTTCATCCTGAAAGTTACCGGCCATTTTGAAAGAGTAAAACTCCATCGAAGTGACAATTGAAACTCCTATTTTTACAAACATTTATTTACCTCTTATTCTTATCTGGATGCGATCAAAAGACTATAATAATTATTTCTTAAATAACTGAGGAAGCCACTAGGAATACTCTAGTTAAGTTACAGTGTTTAAAAACAATACGTATCCTTTATCTTGGGCTATTTCATCCTGAAAGTTACCGGCCATTTTGAAAGAATAAAACTCCATCGAAGTAACAATTGAAACTCCTATTTTTACAAACATTTATTTACCTCTTATTCTTATCTGGATGCGATCAAAAGACTATAATAATTATTTCTTAAATAACTGAGGAAGCCACTAGGAATACTCTAGTTAAGTTACAGTGTTTAAAAACAATACGTATCCTTTATCTTTGGCTATTGTATGAACCTGTAAAGTTTCATCAAAGTCGCGTAGGTGGAAGGAGAGGTAATTCGTGGATGTTCCTTGCAACTCGCGAGATGAAATTGCAATTTAAACAGCAATATTACCGTCATGCCGCACCACTCGCAACGAAACCCGGAAAGGCACTCGGTAGAAAAGCAGCTTTTCTTGCAGACAGCACATTTCGAACTGCTGGGAAGATTGCCTTCTCGCCAGTGATGAGTGTGTTTTACCTGCGCCAAGTCCTTCTCAGGCAAGTACGTGGCGTTCTCCTTGCAGTCTGCCACGGCAAAATCCTGGCACTCCGTGTGTACGAAGTACTCGCATACTGAAATCAGAGTCGCCACCAATCAATATCTGCCCTGGAGCTTTATTCACGTTTGCACAAAAGTGTGGTTGTTAACCCTCGAGTGACGGATCTTATTGTCTACATCATAGTAGATACAAAGTCACAAAATTCGAAACGTGGTAAACGAGCAAATTGAATATAGGTTTCATTTAAACATGAAATGAGCCTCCCTTAGTCACTCTTGTAACATAACAACCACGTATTCAGAGAAATAACGTCAGAGGAGCCGATGCATCACGAAAACTTACTTTCACAGTGTACGGATAAACTATCATCGAACCGTTTGCGACAGACGTTGCAGAATTTTCTTTTACGATGTACCTGTTCGGACCAACAGTGTGCACCCGGGTTCTGTAACAGAAATAGCATCGTTCTCCTTTATCCGTAACTTTTAAATTATCTGAATCTTCATTTGTTAAAGTCGCACGACGAGGAAAGGATGACAAAAAGAGTGAAATACATGGATGTACGATCGCTGCAAGTGCCAGCGACGATGTCGAATCCCATTGTGTGTCGAGGTTTTGAACGGAACCGCGACACTGTGCGGCAAATGTGTTCTCACCGGTGCGTAAATATAGGTCGCCAGGAAGAAATTCGCTCGTCTCCAGCCGCACAAAAGGGCCAGGAACAGAAACAGAGGGTATTTCTTACCTTAATGAGGCTTGCCGCGACGCTGGAGCAGGGAGAGACGACGGCCTTGAGACAGCGGTCGTGCACCACGAAGTTACAAACTGCAACAACAAATACGAGAAATATGTTAAATATATATTCAACCCTCCTAAGTTACCTATAGGGAACACTTTTTATAAATATATAAAAAGGGACTTTATTGGGACTTGCTTCCAGTAACAACCCAATGCTACTCTTCACAACAGTTCCCAAAATGGACGCACGACCCCCACAGGGTTACAATTTTGAGTATTTTTAGAGCAATTGAGGAATTATGGAATGCTGTTCTAGAAGTAATTGGATTCCAGTTGTAACTAGAATTATTTCCTTTTTATCCGTAACTTGTATTTCAACGCATTCGATTTATTTTGAAGTGCAGTCGTACCTCGATAAATGCAACCTCGACGATTGCGTGAAAACCTCATTCGTTGCATTATGTTAACAAGTGGAAGGGGTGGTCACTTAGCTACGAGTGAAGTTGGAGGTGGAAGTAACAGGTAGTAGTAACTATAGGTGACGAGGGTGTACTGTGTAAGTGAGGCTCCTTATTGGATTGGTTACCTCGATCAGTGCATAAATCTCGATACTTGCAGAAACTTTCACCTCCGTTTATTTGCAATTATCGGGATTTCACTGCAAAACATTTTAATATAAAATAAAATCATAACGAATTGTTTTTAAATAGATTAATTAAATCAGATTAAAAATAGATACTGTAGATTAATATATAAATAATACAATTATTACATCTAAAATCGATCCGTAATACTGACGGACCTAGTAAATCAATCTGTTAATAAAACAGAAAGAATTTTGTTTTTTTATGATTTTTCTTTATACCGTCGGATCTATAAATAATAGTAAATTATAAATAGTTATTCTAATTAGACTGTTTCATGTAATAAATTCTATGAAACGATCGAGTACGAAAATCAGAAATTTGAGAAAGATGAACATTCTTTGATTCGAAAGCACCGACTGAACAAATATTTAATACAATAAACTGTTAAATAAAATGTATCCCGCGTACACTGATCCAACTATGATGAAAAAAGTCTGCTTTACTTATTTTAAGCTCTTGAATCAGAGCGTGAAACCCTTCGCTGCTTTTAAACCCAATAGAGACTACATAATCGTACGAGTATACTAAACTGTTAACGTCTCACGAGTAAAATGCAACACAATAGTAAATAAACGTTATATACTTTAGTCTGACTCGGTACTTAATAATAAACTTTAACGTTTTTATAAATTTCACAATAAAAAAAAATTTGAGTACTGTATCTACGGTCGATAATTGGAAAAAAGAAAATTGTTAAGTATTTTGCAGTCGGTGCATGCCAATGAATATTACGCAGTTAAATATTTCATCAGTAAGAACCGAGATAATATTAAATTTATCATTGGTTTTCCTTTACTGTTATTTCTGACGCAAATATCGATTTATTGACTCTTAACATGTTATTTACGAACCCTTTAGTTTCCACTAATATTAATAGCAGATATGAGTTGCAAAACCTTTTAGAACATATATTGGTTCGTATCGATATTCCATTAAACGTAGTATTATACGGGGCCGATCGGAAAATGTAACTTTATAATAAGAACGCTTAGCTACGGTGAAGTAATGCCGTTGTTGCGTCGTCGTTCTTTGTAAATTACAGAATAATTATGTAGGCCGACATTTTATACGGTAGATTGACATTAGCTAAATTCTGTCTGCATTTTTAATTGAATTAATTATTCATTAATTTTTTTTTCATTTGTTTTGCGGCTATTAATTATGTGTCGCAATTAAATATATTTTTTCATACTGTTATGACTAAACGTTCGGATAAAAATACCGGGAGTGTTAAATATGATATATTTTTTTCATCTTCGACGTACAAACGAATCTGATACGGTTTATCCTTCGCGAACGAACTTCTCTAATTATTTCGAGCAGCGTATCTGTTCGTTACATCGAAAAGAGCAATCTATTGTAGTTAGACAGTCCCTTTGCAAAGTTTTCAACTAAAGTCCAGCATCAGTTCGCAATGCAATGTCTAGCTTTTAGAGTTCGCGCTCAATTGTGGAGTTTACGATCTGTTTGTTATCTTCTCTCGACAATAACGAGCCGTCGAATGCATTCGGGATACGTACCATATGTACACACTTTTCATAACACAACACTTCGACAAAATCGAGAGAAGAAAATAATTTACGACTCGGTCTTTGCCCTTCCATCGCACACTTAGCGCGTTTCGTGCCAAATGGGTCACTGGTGACCCGTGGTACTTATCAAATGTTCGTTTGGTAAGCAAACATATTCTTCGACACGATGTTCAAGGAAAACAGGAAAAATAAAGACTGTTGAAAAAAAAATTGAAACGCAACTGTAAATTTCGTATCCACGAAAATAAAATTTATAAAATGTACGATAATTCGCCTACCGTTGCTTTTACAGCAAACACGCACGCAACAAAAGTTGTTGCAAGTTAAATTTGGAAACCTTTATGTTCTATAGAAATTTTCGATAGAATCGTTAGTAACCGAGATATCGACCCGACCCTTCCTGCCTATAATACCCTACGAGGGTGAGTAGCAGAACAGCCCTATTTATTTGTGGCCTAGAAAATAAAACGAAGAACGTCGTACATCAAGCAGCGGTGAAATAATTTTTGCGTTCAAATAATATTTTCGAACTCTGAGAACATTGCATAATTCAGCCAGCAATTTATTATTGCAGTCTAAATTTTAAGGATCCATCGAAAACTTGGCATTCTACTGAACGCGTTAACCATTGAATAACTGGTAACAGAACATTTTGTAACAAATAACGATAACAAATTACTATGCACTTATTATAACTAACTTCGCTAACATTTCAAATTTTCAGTTTTAAACTCCGTCGATGTTACTTCCACTTTCAGCAATTATCGAAACAGGTAGAACAACACAAGTCCCGCTGCCTACACTATATTTCCGGGTTGCTAAAAATAAAGCCAGCCTTGAAGACGCGATCTGTTATTCCACAGTTTTCATCATATGCTTTTTCATAAATTTCTGATTGGCGTCACGAGGTGAACGACTGTTAATAAGTTGAACGAACCGACGAAAATAAAAACTCCGACAAGGACCTTGGAAAAGCCTAATTTACGAAAGGAAATTGCAATCTGCTTATAACCATCGACTAACGCCGTTCTCGGTTTAGAAAATTCCACGTTCTTCTAAACGTTGTACCGTGTCATTTAATTATTGTAATACTTGAACGAAAACGAAGAAACGCGATCAACGACAGGTCAGATTTGCAACACGCAGTTCCGCCAGTAATTTAAAGATCTATCGAGGTCCGTGGTATCGTCGTTTCGAATCGATCGCCCCTCAAAATCCCGCGAAAGCTAAAATTAAGATATCGGGTCTAGAAATATTCCGAATATTCGTGCAATCGCGTCGTGACGCGTCGACCAACGGCTCCGAGTTTTGTTTGTGAATTTACTCTGAGCACATGGTCAGTCAACTTTTTTATCGTCGCACGTCACGATAAAGAAAGGGAAGGCACGGAGGAAATAACATCGATGGAAGTGTATCATTGATCAACATAGAGAACGGTTCGGTTTTCCGTGGAAGAACGACGTTTTGGCGTGCATGTGGATTCTAGGAATCGAGAGCTTCGATGGCGTTGGCGTGCTCGTATCGAGCACGTCGATATGCTTGCGTGGTCTACGTATTCCAGATCGACGATTCTAAACGCTTTGGACACCGTCGCGCTGGCTTTGAAAGCGTTGTTACCGAACACTTTCAATCGGTTTTTACCTTCGTCACATCGATACGCTTTGGACCCATCTTTGGGACCACAGTTGGCTCGAACAAAGAATCTACTCGATTAACGAGGGAAGTTACACGAACGACATCTTGCTTCTACTGTCCAGAGATGGGCAACATTTCCTAGTCCTAAAAATTATTGATGCAAAACCGTATTTAAACGAATTTTAAAAATGTATCTGCACCGTTGGTGTACCGGGATAAATTGAATCGCTACCGTCCATAGCTGTTAATATAGATTGTCGAATATTGGTTGCCAATTGTTCGTACGTAAATAGATTCGGTGCATAAACATGCGGTTGCGCTTGTTTTTTTGAAGGGAACAAAGTGCATTCGCGTCGAATCGTTTCGATCGACGAGATCAAAGTTAAAATTAAAATTACACCGTGGCCAGCTTGAAGGAAAATGCGTCTCAACGATTAATCGTACCGTGTCCAAATCGATCGATTCTGAATTTAAACACGCCCGGTTGCGCCCAAAGTTCCACCCAGACGCCTAAATGCCGGAATCCCGGGGTAGCCAAACTCATGAATCGAGCCGATTGTTCGATTAAACAATACAAAGTTCGGAAGTGTTCACGGATGCTTATCCTTTACGGCCTCCGCTCGTCAACGAGCTCTCTGTCCCCTACTCGTCCCCACTCCAGGTTCCAAGCTAACCCTCTCGTCGTGTACCCCTTCCTTCTGCTCTCTCCAGAGTGTAACAGCTACCCCACAACACTCCCTCCCTTCCCCCCGCGATCAATGCTTGTGAAAAGCCTCGATGCGCGCGCCCTCGCCTAGAACCATCGCACGCCAGCTCGATTTCCCTCAACTGTTGAGTCCGCTGGAATTTTTGCGGCCCCGTGTCCCGAAGGCGGATCCTTCTGGGGGGCCACCCGTTCAACACGATGCCTCGAGAACGACCAAAAGGTTTAGGGGGTGACGACGAGGACATGGTCGTCGGTATTGTCTTCTTCCCGTTCGCTCTGCCCCATCCTGCAAGGGGTAAACACTCGAGCAGGAGTGTGCGCAAATCGCGACGGGGTGGATAATGTGGCGCCCTGTTATCGGGCTCCAAAGATGGTGGTAGCTTTGGACCAAACGAGAATCTTCATAGACGAGAAAATAATTGCGTAAAATCCTCCGTCGACGAATATCTATTGCAAAAAATTTAACTGGCAATTTAATCAGTGTTCGACGATAACTATGTAATTTTATGAATTTAAATATTTTCTGAAGAATCAAAATTATAGGGCCAACCGTTTGATTTCTGAGTAAACTGATGTATAAATTTTTGGGATCGGTTCGATTCCTTAACGCGATCTCTGAAAAGAAAGCAACATATGCAAGTTGGCGCGAAAGCGTCCCTCCCTTTCTTTCCCGAGCTCCCGTGTAATCGTAACGAACGCCTCGGATTATTTTCACAGACGCGTAATCTGTTGCTAAAACTCCATTAGATGTTTCGTCGAAGCCTAGAATCGGCGTTCGGCGGCTTCTGGATGAACGTGCTACCCTCTGCACACACGGTGAATGGACACTTGCCATTCATCATTCCTGGAGGTCAGCCAGTTTCAACTTTGCACGCCGACCAAGGTTTCGGAGCCCGTGAAAAGGCGGGACGAGCGTACTCCGGGTGGCAATGCGCCGCGTATTCGATTTCGTTACCGAACGCGCTCATATCGATCGGTCCTCCGGCTTGCGGTTTTTCTGTGAAAACTTGCTCGGCGTTCTGGGACTGGTCGGCTCGTCTCAGCTTTCTCTTTAATCGACGGGAACGTGTACGTTCCCCGAACGATTTGCTAACGTTTCCACCCAGAGTCTGACCCCCCAAAAAAAAGGGAAGAAAAAGAAAAATCTATCGGGAGACTATTTTTCGGGACCCAGCGAACTCGATCGTTTACAGAATTTCTCGATCAATGCGCATGTCTCGAGCTAACCCGACCAGCCTAACTGGCGATACAACTACCCAAACATTGCCCCTTTGACGATGACACGATGACAATTCGAGATTGACACGATAACGTTCCGTCGCATGTACGGTTCTCCCGATCGAAAACGCGTCTTTGGTTACTAGACGCGAACCTAGTGTACACACACGATAATGGGAGAACGGGGCTACGAGAGGGTGGGTGGTACCTACCTTCGCAGATGTACCCCTGCTGTATGAGGCCCCACAGCGTGTCGGTGCAGCTATGGCAGTACGTCCGCTTGTGAAACGTCTTCTTGCTGAAGCTGTGCCCATGGCTGGCTGGAGTCTCAGCCGAGACCGACGCCATGTTCCCCGTTCCACCGCGGCACCGCTCACGCCAGATTTTCACCGTGAAGCTACACAGGGCGCGCCGCGCGTCGATGACAACATAATTACACGGCAGCCACTACGTGATCTCGAAACCGTACGCGTACATAATTGCGTAGCTGCAGCTGCACCCGCGGCTGGCTGCTCGGGTCCCTCGCGTCGAACCGTCGTCCTCGTCGCCGTGCAACGTGCCTAACGCGCATTATTCCCGAAGCTGCCGCCCCTAGGGCCGACCGACCGGCACGGCACCGTACGCGAGACCGAGTTTCCGTTTAATCGTGCGCCAGTCAGCAGTCACCACTGTTTCGCGGCTGACCATCACCGTCGTCGGCCGCTGCTACTGCCGCCTCCGCCTCCGTCGGGAGCTTCACTCGCGGTACGACGATGCGGGTGTCGCGTTCGCGCATCCGAGCCACGGAGCGGGCGCCGAGTGGCCGCACTGACATCAGCCCCTTCGTCACCACCGACGTCCAGTGCCGGAATCATGCACGGGCCAGCCGGCGTCCACGAGGGAGCCCCGTCGGGGGTCCCTCGACTTCTCCCGATTCTTTCCTCTTCTTCCTTTTTTCGACGATCTCCTCGGCGTTCGCTGTACACGCCCTCCGCGTTCTCGGGCCGCGTAAAATTCTACAAAGATGGGAATTAGTTCGGTCAGGTCACGCGAGACTCGGCGGTCAACTGCGTACACAAATTTTCTAGTTCTTTCGTTGTACACGGCGACATGATCCCGATCGCACCGAGAGTCTTAAACATTTGCGGCACTCGAGCTACCCGGAACCGTTCACATTTTACGCGAATTTCGGTTACGTGTTCGCGATCTACGGCGAAGATCAGGGCACTGAGGTGCAGTCGTCCGGTACCATCGCCTTCGTCAGCGACGTCGGAACGGTGCGCGTCGCGACCTCCCGTAGTCTCGAAGCGCCCAGTTCGAGCGCAACGACGGCGCCGCTCCGCCCCACTGTACCGTCTCGAGGCTCGGCGCGGTTCCTCGGTTCCGTTTTCGGTACACGCCGCCGACCCGAGTATCGACTCCGCGCTCGGTTCGCGAAACCAGCTTACGCCAAGTCCGTATAACGCGTCGACGGTGCGAACGGGACGTATTTTCGACGCACGCAGCACGGCCGCTTCGAGACCGTATCGTCGACTCGCCTCGACGACGTCAAACCGACGACACCGGAGCTCCGTCGACGCGGTGTGCCCGCGCACATCGACGCGGCCCCGCAGCGCAACGCGCTTATACGTTTCATGCGTGCACCAGCCATTTCGCGTCGAATCGCTCGTCGGGCAACCTTATCTCGACGAACTCCCGAGGCTAGGCGCATATCGACTTTCCGTCGACAGAATTGTTTAGTCTAGTCCACCATCGTCCACGATTTCATCTCGACCGAACGGTTCTGTCGCGAAAGAATTCACGAAGGACCGACGAACGACGAACGCCATCGGTTGCGACAAAATTAAACATAAAATTGTATCGGAATGTTTCTCAAACTTTAATTGTTCTCTAATTTCTTAGAGAAGAATTAAATTAGTTTTTTAATATGCAGGACATTTCAGAAATACTTGCAAATACTTGAGAAGCTGAATTTTACATCGAACTAAAATATATCCTACGTATCTTAACTTTCGAGTTATGGATGACTAAAGAATAATGCACGAAACATCCATCTCGTGCCTCAGCGCACGCTCTTACACGCCTCAACATCCAATCTCGCGCTCGCTGTTAAATGTCAGATGTTTCCTGAACAGTCTCGAATCCATTTCGTGTCCTTTCTTGCAGTACATGTACACCATTCGCTTGCGTCGAGTACACGATAGATTTCAAATGACTCGAGAAGCAAAAATCTAACGGATTGAGGTCATGCGTTGGGTCCACCTCGCCCTATCTATCGGTTTGCGAAAGTGTTGTTCTGGAATGTTCCCACTGCACTGTTATGGCGTGGATGCTGGACCACGATCGTTGTTTCGTAGGCAGGAATACGTACAAGGAAAATAACCAGGACTCGTTTAGACGCTTGAACAAAGAATATGTTAATATTATTCAGACTTTATTATAGCAAAACAGTTATAAGGTTTTGGATACGAATATGGAAACACTAACGAGCCAGGAGGCTCTCAGGATGAGAGTTTTTGTATCCCCTATTATCTTTTTTAGTTGGGCGTTGACGAGGTCGTGGTCGCGTAAGTCTCGTCGCGACGATGACGATTTCAGGAATCCTAAAAGCCCTAAAAGACAATCTCTCACAATTCTCACACATTAACGAAAAACTGTTGCTGATGCCTTGATTGTTTTTAATCATTCAAAATTCGAGAACCAAAATATATACGACATACGTTTGTTATATTTTTGAATACTCCTCTAGGTATGTCGCTCATAGTTTGAAAAATACTGACCTAAAATACATCAATGGCTGACAACACAGATAGTGTACATCCACTTTTTGTTAAATTTTCCCTTTTATATGCTACAAACAGCTCTCAGTTGTTTCTTTATGCTGTATAAATATCATACCTTCGTATACTGTATAAATTTGTTATATCGATTATTTTTGTTTACCGTGTGTCTCTGAATTCAATATTCACAAACGTTGCACGTCCGTACCAAAGGATATACAGTATTCATATAGAAAATGTCTGATCACATATATGCAGTATGTCGATTCGTGTAGTATATCTATACTATTACATTTTTGTTTTTATTTTCGGAGGAATTTGACTTTATTGGATTGTTCAATTGAAAGTGTCAAGATGAAACAAAAAACATATCGTTAGTAGATAATATGTACCAGAAAGGAAATAAATTTATACTTGGTATCACGTTTATCAATTTTTTAGTACAAAAAATAAAGATAATAATATGTCTTAACGTTTATACCTGCGCTATAATCCGTATGAATACGAGGACAAAAGGGTATAGCCGGATAAGATGGTCAAAAGTGCCCTTGAGCCAAACTGATCAGTGAACATATCAGTTAATAGACCATTCAAAGAAAACCATTTGTGTCAAATATCAACCCCGCACCCTTACTGAGAGGGTAGTTACAGGGCGTAACGCAATTTTCAGTTTAAGCTGTATATCTTTTGTTGTATTGTATAAAAGATTTTGAAAAAAATTGGGGGTATTTTGCTCTACGGCGTACGTGTTTGTGAATTTTTTCAGAATTTTTCACCGCAAAATGGATTTTTAAAAAATTCGAAAAGTATAAAAATATTTTTTTTTAATAGAAATTATTAAATGACCACGTTTATATTTTTACAGTGTTAGTGTCTTGTTATGATTATTAATCTATAATTTTTTCAGATTTTTAGAAATGGGGGAGCGATGTTGGAAAAATCAAAAACCGACATTTGTAATATATTCGGGTAATTGATATTTTTACTTCATCGAATGATCATTATATACATGCTCAAAACAGTTTTACATGTATGAATTAAGAGAATTGCAGCTATTGTTTTATTAGAATTTCTCATTAGAATTTTTCAGAATATGACTCATAAAATATTAATTATTCATTAATGTCATTCATTGATGTCTTTTTCGACATTCCTAAGGTTTTAAGTTTTATATTATTTGATACATGTAAAACTGTTTTGAGCATGTATATAATGATCATTCGATGAAGTAAAAATATCAATTACCCGAATATATTACTCCTCTGCGAACGAAGACTTAGGAAATATCGATTTATAATTATTTTGTATGTGATACACCTCCACAAAATATCTCAAAAAATTATATATTTATAACAGTAACAAGCTATTAAAATTGTAACAATACGAACATGGTCACAACAAAAATTAAGGTAAAAATACAAGCAAATGTCGGTTTTTGATTTTTCCAACATCGCTCCCCCATTTCTAAAAATCTGAAAAAATTATAGATTAATAATCATAACAAGACACTAACACTGTAAAAATATAAACGTGGTCATTTAATAATTTCTATTAAAAAAAAATATTTTTATACTTTTCGAATTTTTTAAAAATCCATTTTGCGGTGAAAAATTCTGAAAAAATTCACAAACACGTACGCCGTAGAGCAAAATACCCCCAATTTTTTTCAAAATCTTTTATACAATACAACAAAAGATATACAGCTTAAACTGAAAATTGCGTTACGCCCTGTAACTACCCTCTCAGTAAGGGTGCGGGGTTGATATTTGACACAAATGGTTTTCTTTGAATGGTCTATTAACTGATATGTTCACTGATCAGTTTGGCTCAAGGGCACTTTTGACCATCTTATCCGGCTATACCCTTTATCCAGTTGTATTGAATAACGCTTTGAAGAAAATGGTCCATCCTTAGAAACTGAGCTGATAACTCTTAGAAGTGATCTTACGTGGAGAGGTGTTGTTGCGGGACTATATGTTCTGAAAGCAACGTGTTGCACTACGCTCGAAGGCATTCTTCAGTCTACTTGCCAGCGCGACTAGTATTGTTCAACTGTGAAAATAGTGATAAACAAATGTAGAAACTGCCTTACGGATGATCTTTTCGGCAATTGTATAATAATTGCAAGTTACAAATTTTGTATTCAGCAATTGTCTGTAAAATTCTAAAAGAAATCTATATTAGCTTTGCCATCAAACAAGTTTTTCTTAATATTGTACGAACATATATTATAAAGTTATTATCATTCTATTATATTTTCATTATTTAACACCTACGCATTTATGTATTTACAGGATGTTCGGCCACCTCTGGGAGATTCTAGAGACCAAAATAAGATGAAAATCAAGAATATCAATTTGTTGATCGAGGCTTTGTTAAAAAATGATTACAAAATTAAATGGAAAAACTTTAAATCATTCAATTATCAACAAAAATTATTTTCGTTTGAGAGGGTCAATTACAATCATTTTTGGTCAATAGACATACCCCCGAATTTCTACACATTTTCGAAAAAAAAATTCGAGTAGATGCTGAAATTTTTCAGCGAAATTAAAAAATTTCAAATCGTTCCAAAAAAATTATTTTTGGCTGCGGGGGTCAAATACAATCATTTTTGGTCAACAGACATACCCCGAAATTCTACGCACTTTCGAGAAAAAAATTCAAGTAGGTACTGAAATTTTTAGACGAAATTAAAAAATTTCAAATCATATTAAAAAAATTATATTTAGTTACAGGGACCAATTAAAAGCATTTTTGGTGAATACACGTACCCCAGAAATCCTACCCATTTTCGAGAAAAAAATTCGAGTAGGTGCTAATATTTTTCGGTGAAAAAAAAATTTCAAATCGTTCTGAAAAAATTATTTTTAGTTGCAGGGGTCAATTACAATCATTTTTTGTGAATATACATATCTCCGAAATATAAACCATTTTCGAGAAAAAAATTCGAATATGTAGACAAATTTTTCGGTGAAAAAAAAATTTTCAAATCATTCTGGACAAATTATTTTTAGTTGCAGGGGTCAATTACAATCATTTTTTGTGAATATACATATCTCCGAAATATTAACCATTTTCGAGAAAAAAATTCGAATATGTAGACAAATTTTTCGGTGAAAAAAAAATTTCAAATTGTTCTGAAAAAATTATTTTCGGATAGAGGGGTCAATTACAATCGTTTTTGGTGAATACACATACCCCACAAATCCTACGTATTTTCGAGAAAAAAATTCTTTACCGAACATATACCGTGTGGCCGGAAATGTTTCTATAACTCTTCAACGAAGCCTCAATCAACAAATTAGCTTTCTTGATTTTCGTCTCATTTTTAGCCTCTAGAATCTCCCATTAAATTAAATTAAAATATATTAAATCGGCTCAATTTTAAAAAGCAGTTAAAGAATGAAACTTCAAATATTTTAAGTTTATTAAGAGGACCTCCAATCGTTCCGCAGCATCGGACTTAAAAAGTTTCAAATGGACTCTAATTAGAAGATGTCGGTATTATTCGTAACTATTATTGTATATAGGTTTTTTAAAAATATTAATAGTCTTTAACAATATTACCATCGCACTTATACGTCTAACATAGCGACGCTCGTATCTCAGCTGGGAAATACGATGTTTGCGTGCATTTTGAAATTATTTACTCGATAAAAACGAACGATGCGACAACACTACGCTTTCGCTAACTTTGTCGATTTAAATCAACGTTTCGCATTTCTAAATAATGCAACATTGTT